CCCCCTGATACTTCCTTTTAAAAACCCTTCTTCCTGTTTTATTTTATCTAGTGATTGCAAATGCCAGAAGAGTTAGATTCCTTATCAATCATTCCACAGCAAGAGTAAGATCTGGGTGACTGCTTATTTTAAACTGGCTTTGGATTTATATAGACTATGGAAATATTCCTGTTTCCCTACCCCAAGATATATATGCTTTTTCCCCCCCCAAGCAGTTTCTTCACACAGTGGATATCTTACTTTGAGTTTTGTCTATCTGGGTTTGTTTTGCTTATTTCTATATTCGTTTTTGACCATCTAATATTTGCCCACTCTACTAACGACCAAGCTCTGGTGGCTAGAGGTAAGGAGCCACAGTGCCAACTCAAAGGTACATGCTTTGAATAGATCAGATGCTCCATAGGAAAAAGGATGGGCAGTCTCTTCCTATTAGATGTACTGCCTCTAAAAACAAGCTGGAGGGCCAGCTATGAGTTGATTCTGACTCAGTGGTGCATAACAACAGCAGCAACAACTAGTTACGAGGAAATCCCTGAAGGGCAAAACCAGTTAAAATGTTTGGCTGTGAGTCAGAAGGTTAGCAGTTCAAACCCACCCAGAGGCACTTGTGAAGACAGGTTTAGTCGTTTGCCTCTGAGAGGTTATAGCCTCAAGAACCTGAAGGAGAAGTTCTATGCTGCACACTAGAGATCACCATGAGTCTGAACTAAATCAAGAGCAACTGACAGCAACAGCAATTCACTGCCATGGCCAATCCCCACTGGACCTGTGTGCTCCCAAACATTTTCTGTGAAAGTCTCTTTTGCTGAAGTTTCCAGCTTTGCCTTCTGTCAGTTAGGAAAACAACAACAACAGCAACAAAAACAAGACTGGTCTCCATATTGCCTTGTCTCTTCTATCTCTTCTTAAATGTCTAGCAATGGAGAACAAATTAGATAGCAAGATCCAAATGTGATCACCAGATAAATTCTGGAGCTTCACAAACCAGAATTAAGAGTATGAGGATACAGGAATTGGTACAAATTGGGAATACATCAGGGTCACAAGAAAATGAGTTTATTCATAGGGCACAAAAAGATTTTAAGACAGCACGTGTTAGAGTACAGCATCAGGAGTCATGATTTGGACTATTGACAGTTTTATCCATGGTTGGGTAATAGCAAATACTAAAACTATTAATAGTGTACCCATAGTTGGGTAATACTAAATACTAAACTATTTATCATTTTACTCATGTTATTGTGTGCCATCAAGTCGGACTCTATCTGTGGCTGACAGTCCAGAGGATTTCAGAGGCAGTAGATTGTACAGGAGGAGACTGCCCATCCTGCTCCTGCGGAGCAGCTGGTGGATTTGAACTGCTTGTCTTTGGGATTGCAGTGAGGCTTCCATATTTGGTCTTAATGAGAGGCTGTGGTAGTGAGGATCCTTCTAGTCTTCCATTCTAATATCTTTCCTACTGCTTCAGAAATAAGGGCCAGTAGAAGAGATCTATGGGGAATTCAAGGAAAAGGGTGGAGTAGGAGAAGCCATTAGAAGGTAGGAACAGAGAGGACAATACAGATCTCTTTACACTTAGATCCTTTGTGGACATATCTGTGCTGTTCCTCCCAGTTATCATTTAACCATGGAAAAACACAAAGCATCCGAGCAAGGACTCTCCCAAGGTTCCAGGGCTGAAACCCACATCCTCTGGATTATCCTGTAAAGAAATCAAACACTCTCAAGGGACTGAAGAGAGATAGACTAAGTAACATACTGGCAAAGGGGATAACAAGCAGGAAATGAAGAAAGAATTAAAGAATTATAGGCTTTTACTTTTTGAGGGTACTGAAATTTAAGGAGTTTGCCTACGATCAAAAACTGTACTGAAGGAAGAAAGCCAAGCTGCACTGAAGGCATTGGAAAAACAGCAAGGCCCCAGGAATTGATGCAATACCAGCTGAGGGGCTTCAGGAAAAAGATGCAACTTTAGACATGCTCACCAGTCTCTGCCAACAAATATGGAAAATAGCTACCTAGCCAACTGACTGGAAGAGATCCAGATTGGTTCCAATTCCTAAAACAGGTGATTCAATACAATGTGGAAATTATTGAGCGGCACCATTACTATCACATGCAAGTAAAATTTTCTTGATGATTATTAAAACATAATTGAAACAATATATTAACAGGGAACTGCCAGAAGTTCAAGCTGGATTCAGAAGAATCCATGGGACAAGGAATATCACTGCTAATGTCATATGGATCCTGGCTGAAAGCAGAGAATATGAGAAAATGTTTTATTGATTATTCAAATGCATTTGGCTGTGTGGATCATAATAAATTGTGGATAACATTAAGAAGAATGGGAATCTCAGAACACTTAAATTAATTATACTCATGTAAAACCTATATCCAGACCAAGAACAGAACAAGGGAACACTACATGGTTTAAAATCAGGAAAGATGTGCGTCAGAGCTATATCCATTCTCACTACATATTCAATCTGTATGCTGAACAAATCATTCAAGAAGCTGGACTATATTAAGAAGAATGTGAAATTGGGATTATAAAAAGGCTCATAAACAATCTGCATAATAAAGATGATATAACCTTGCTTGTAGAAAGTGGGGAAGACTTGAAGCACTTACTTCAAAAGTCTTTAATATGGGTTACACCTCAACATCAAGAAAGCAAAATTCTTACCATTAGACCAGTAGGCAACAGTATGATAAACAGAAAAAAGAGGAAAATAGTCAAGGATTTCATTTTACTTGGATCTACAATAAACATCCATGGTAAAGATTTCTTTCAGTCAGGAAATCAAGAGATGTGCTGCATTAGGAAAATCTGCTGTCAATGACCTCTCCAAAGTGCTAAAGAACAAGGATATCCGTTTAAAGATTAAGGTGTGCTTGATCTAAACCATGGTATTTTTCAATCTCTTTGCTTCCTAGGCATCTCAAAGTTAGATAATGAATAAAGGAGATTAAAAAAGTATTAATGTCCTTGAACTGTGGTGCTGGTGAAAAGTTTTGAATACACCATGGACTGCCAAAACAGCACACAAATCTGCCCCAAAGGAAGTGGAACTGGAGTCCTCCTTAAAGTCAAGGATGGTGAGACTTTGTACTGCTTATTTTGGGGCATAATATCAAGAGGAATGCTGGAGAGGGTCATCATGCTGAGAGAGTAAGAGGGCCAGCAAAAGAAAGGAAGACACTCAATGAGCTAGAGTGACCTAGTAGCTACCACAATTAACTTGAGCATGACAGAGAAGGTAAGGAGGGTGCAGGACAGGGCACGGTTAAAGTCTCTTGTTCACAGGGTCTCTATGAGTCATGGTCAACTCAACAGCACCTGCCAACAACAACATAGAAGTTAGGGAGTTCTAGCAGCATAGTGCATAGGCAGTTATACTGCTAATCTAAAGATAACACTTCTCTAGTAATTAAATCCACCAAGGGCTCTGTGGGAGGAAGCTGAACAATATCCTACCATGAAATTTACAGCCTCTAAAGTCCCACTGGAGGGTCTGCTATGAGTTAGTTCTGACTGATAGCAATGACTTTGAAGTATTGAAGTTACCCACTACACATCAATCAGTGGGGTCTATAATGATAGCTTGCATCTTGCTATAATTCTAGAAGTTATGAGACCAGTATATCAAAAAGAAGCTGAGTCATTCATGGCAGTCAGCTTTCAGAACTGAGACAGACTTGGAAGAAAGTCTCATCTATGTTTTGGAAAAGCCACCAGTGGAAGCCCATGGATCACAAGAGTATGGCTGGATACGGTGTTCAGGGAGGAAATGGTCCTTCTACATATTTTCAGAGTCTGGAAATTGCAAAGGGAAGAGATTGTCCTTCTATCTCCCAAAGCACATACATTATGCACTAGGCCACCAGAACTCCTTGGGCTGGAAAGCACTCCAAATTCAGAAGGTTGCAAAAGAGGGAGGAGCCCTGATGCATTGGTGGGTAGCTAGTTGCATTGCTAACCAAACTGTGTGTCTCTGGTCCTTCGAATCTTCCAGTGGCTACAAGTTGCTGTTGCAGTTTATGACCTTAGAAACTCACTTCCAAGGCAGTTGTTTTCCAGAATGGACTTGACCAAACCAATGATCACGAAAATAGTACAAGAAAGCGAGGCATTTTCCTGTTACAATGAAATGGCTGTAAGTCAGAGCTAACAGGACAATTTATAGCAGTGTTAAACTGATTTCACTTGTAAAGTCCTGAGATGCGTGTGCCCTCGGCCTTTTAAAAAGATGAGGATAAAGTCTGCTTGCCTGAGAACCGGACCCAGCAAGGTTGCAGGTGCCCAATGAATGTTTTATGAATGAACGAGATAAGGGGTGAGATAGGCTTCCATGCCCTGTGAAGTGTTTTGATTCAACACAACAGGTAAATAGAAGCCCTGAAAGAGCGTTCATATAAAAAAGGATTAGCCCAAGCTTCCTGGTTTATCAGACAACTGAAAAACTTCCTTAGGTAAATCTTCCTCCCTCCCCTCCAACGATGGATGAGGTGTTAAAATAAGGACTAACTGTACTTTCCAACAAGCCACTGAGGCAAAACCAGTGGAGAAGAGTTTTCTTTAAGCTTTGGGATGAGTCTTTTCCTTTTTTTGCTTTAACATTCCAAAATATGTAACCCAAGAAAAACAGTAGAATCAGGAGATTCATCACTGAAAACTGGAGCCAGAACAGAGAGGAGCCCGAGTCTCAGAGCTCTGGGAGATCTTTCGCGCCTTGCAGCGTCGCCCAGCGGACAGAGGCAGCGGGTGTGTTCCGGGGCCTCCCTCCCACCCGCAGCCCCCGGCGCCCGCAAGCTGCCACCTCCCCAGGCGGCCCGGGGAACTCAGCCGGCTCTGCGCGGCCGGGGCCACAGCCGATCCGGCCCCGCTATTGGCTGGCGGGGCGACAGAGAAGGGGAGCAGTCGCTGTGATTGGCAGGGGCCCCAGCCGGAGGGGGCGGGGCCACTATATCAGAAGAGTCCTTGTCGCGGCGCAGGCAGTTGGGCTGCTGGAGTGCGGCGCCGCCACCGAGTTCCAGGCCAAGAGGCGGGCGGGTGGTGGGGAGGGTGCGGCGGCCGCAGGGCGCAGGGCAGGGTCCGTCAGCTCCAGCCTCCAGAGGAGCGGCCTTTGCAGAGCTCGGGGCTGGGTCTGAGCCGTGGCAAGGCTGCAGCGCCGCGCACACCAAAGAGTAGGCAGCAGTGGCGGCCCCAACCATGCTGTGCTATGTGACGAGGCCGGACGCGGTCCTGATGGAGGTGGAGGTGGAGGCTAAAGCCAACGGCGAGGACTGCCTCAACCAGGTAAGGGTAAGGGGTTGGGAGGGGGGGACGGGGGCCCACCCCCGGCCCCGGCCAATCTCTGGAAGCCCTGGAGCCTCGCAGCGGCGGGACAGCTGGAGGCAGCGGCAGCACTGTCCCGGGGTCCCCAGGCGCCTGACCCCTTCCTCGCTGCGAGCTTAGGGTGCATGGCGCCTCCTCGTGCACCAGGTGTGGGGGCTCAGAGGACGCGCGCACTGAGACCAAGGCGCAGGGGGCGCGAGCACAGTCAGGGAAGTGGCATTGGCCACCCTGCCCCCAGCCCGGCACTTTTCCCTGAAGACGGTGACCCCACACACCTGCTGCAGGTGTGCATGTGTGTGTCTGTGTGTTTGTGCGCACTGCCGCCTATCGGGTCATCTATGGGTCTGGCCGCGCCACCTGTGCCCCGCCTGGGACAGGATGGCTAGGAGGCGGTCATGGCCCCCCGAATCGCTTGGCTGACTTAGATGGGCCCTTGTTTCACGCTGCTTCTAAAATGGGCCATTCACCTTCATATAGGGGTTTGCGTGATGGAGAAGACTGTTGGTTTGGGTTCTCTATTCCCTGGTGATAGCTAAGCACACGTCTTATGAAGAGTGAAGGAAAATAATTTTTAGCTGGCATGACAGTAAATTTGGTTTCAAGTGACACACAGTGGCCCTCTTAACCTCCTAGACTCAAGATGTTTGAAAAACCCTCTTGAGATGCTTCGCGACACTTGTGGCTTGTTGCCCTCAATGTGTTTGTTTTTCTGGCGTCCAGATGGTTAAAATTGTCCAAATAATAAACTGCCATATCAGCTGTGTAGACTGTGCTGGTGTAAGAACGTCAGTGACTGGAATAAAAAGAAAATGTCCCTGAGGGTCCCCCCATAGCCTCTGTGACGCCACTTTTGAGGATTTCTTTTCAATAAGTGTCATTTGCCAGGTCCGAGGTCTTGAAGAACAAGCCCTGAAGGACAGCTGGTGGTCTTGTTGGTATCACTGGAATCTTAAGAGCTTTCTTTCCATATCTCTACAACAAGAATTTAACACCATTGTACTTTGCAAAAAGTTGCATAGGAGTCTTGGAATAGCTCTGGCTCTGTGGACTGTTTGCTCATCAGTGCTGCATTTTTGTTTCAGGTGTGCAGACGCTTGGGAATCATAGAAGTTGACTATTTTGGACTGCAATTTACGGGTAGCAAAGGTGAAAGTTTATGGCTAAATCTGAGAAACCGGATCTCCCAGCAGATGGATGGGCTAGCCCCTTACCGGCTTAAACTGAGAGTCAAGTTCTTTGTGGAGCCTCATCTCATTTTACAGGAGCAAACTAGGTAACCAAAACCCCAATCTCATTGCTGTTGAGTCAATTCTGATTAGGTAAAGTGATGCTAAAATAAACGAATATCAACTATGCCATTCATTTCACTGAGAGAGCACGCTTGCCCCTTCCTCAAGATACTCACAAGGCGATTTTTGAGTTAGCTCCTAACGTGCAAGTTTGCCAATGCACAGCCCACTTTGTTGAAAGGAAGAGGGAACTACATAGTTGGCCTGGCTAAGGAACATTTTCCAAGTCATCTTTTGGTTTTTCTTGTCTTTGAGTAACTTATTAGAAAAGCAGGATAAAATCCTTACACCTACCTGTCTGTGAGGGCTACAAATAAATCCTAGATACTATAAAAAAAAAAAAAAAAAAAAAAAAAAAAGAAAGAAACCAAAAAAAAACAACAAACACCAGAAAACAAACCACCAAAATCCTCCTTCCTATTAACAGAAACTCTTCCTCTACAGAATGTAAATGCCTGATAGTAACCTCTGCCTCAGCAGAGGTTACTATAGGTCATTTGTAGACTGTTCTAACTGAAAGCAGGAAGCAGTTCCTCTTGGGTTTCTTAAACTTAGTCAACTTTTTCAGCCCAGTGTCGAATTACAGTGTGGAGCAATGAGCTCTGTCTGACTTCCCGCAGAATTTAAGTGTCTTGAAAATTCAATAATAGAAGAACTTTTAAGGGGCCGTATAAGTGCATCCAACCCATGGATCTGTTATGAAGGATTGTGGTGTTTATAGATGGCTGAATGTATCTCCTTACATTAAAAAACCCCAAAACTTCACAAGACCAAAACTACTAGTAGTGGTAGACAATGAGAGACTGTCACAAAGAAAAATGTTTTCTTCCCAGGACTGATTTTTCTCTTTGATGAGCCATAACTTTTTCTCTTTGATTGACCAGACTAGGAAACTGATGTTTAGCATTTAGTTCTAAAGTATCAGAGTCTTAAAAATACTGTGGCATGCCAAAAAAATGGGGGGAGGGGTAGAAAAGGACTACTTTTAAACTCAACAGATTTTGGGTCTAAGTTCTAACATTTTTCATAATCCTTGGAAATTTGCCATACACATGAAGGACAATGTAAATGTGAAAATTTTGAGTATTGCTGAGTGAGCACTGTCATTTAAGAATTTTTAGCATGTTATTTTTTTTCTCATTTGTTTGTTTACCAAACTAGTAATAGAAACACTGTTTGAAACTGCCATTATTTGAAATTTGACATCTGCTTTTCCTTGTTATGGAGCATTAAAGGGCAAAAGAAATTTTTAATATTGTTTATGAAGGAAGCTGGTTTATTGAATTCTTAATGTTTCTGTAAATATCTTGCAAAAATATTCAAGTGATTGCATGTTTAAAAATGTTTCCACTGTCTATATTAATCAGGATCGTTTTTATTTTTAACTGAAAGCTGATTCGTGAAAGCTTCCACTTTGCATGTTTCAGTGCAATAACTTGCAGTCAGGTAAAAACAAACACTCCCCCCTCCCCACCCCAGTTACAGTCCCTCAATTATGATTCATGGCGAACCTCATGTGTGCCAGAGTGAAACTGTGTTTCTGAATGGTCTCAGCTCTCTAGTCTGGTTAGCGCCTGATCTGATGACCATTTGCACTATCTAGGGAAGAATAAACTCTCTCTCTCTCTCACACACACACACACACACTCTCTCTCTGTCTGCATGTATGTATTATATGTATGTCTATGTATAAGGAGTTTCTGAGTAATGTAAGTAGTTATATGGTTAGACCACTAACCAAAGAGTTCATGGTTTGAAAACCCAGAAGTGTCTCACAAGCAAGGCCTGGTGATCCACTTCAGGAAGGTCCTAGCCTTGAAGACCCCACTTAGGACAGGTTCTGTTCACGTAGGATCACCAGGAGTCAGAGTCAACTCTAAAGCAGTTCATTTGCTTGGTGGAGGGTTTTTTGGCATATATGTTTGTTTTTAGGGCAGTGGAGATTCCTTACATGTGTGTATGCATATGTGTGTGTGTCTGTAAAAATCTCATAGTGTATTAGTGTTTCCATTGCACAGCCTTATGATTTTGTAATCATCTCAGAGCCTCCAAATACAGCCCTATTTTGATGACACAAATTTACATTTTGATTTTGCAGAAGCTGGTAAGACCAAGGCCTCATTGAAGCAGTAGTAATAATAGTAGAATACATTTGGGCTATTTCATATTTATAACATTAAAAGTAGTGAAAAAATGGTTTATGTTTGCTTTTTTCTCTGAGCGGGTTAATTACTATTATTAAATTTTGTTCATAACATAAATGGAGACATTTTATGAATCAGAACTAAAATCAAATTTCTAACCTTTGTTTTAGCTTTATTGATTCAATTGAATTTTATTCTGCAGAGTTATGCCTAAAAGCACTCAAAGAATGAATATAACCAGCTTGACTAGGTAATTTCATGATCTTCTCTGAAATCACATGGAGAGTCAGTATAGTCTAATAACGGAGCTTGGATGGCCTAGTGGTAAGGAGTTGCATTGGCAACCAAAAAGCATGTGGTTTGAATTCAACAGGCTCAAAGGAGAAAGATGGACGTTCTTGCATGAAATAACTGCTTCTAAAAACCCACTGGAGAGCAGCTGTGGGTTGGTTCTGATTTTATGGTATACAATAACAATGTAGTTTAATAAAATTTTTGTTTTGTTTTTAAAATACTGGAGAATTCTGCTTGTTTTGGTAGGTTTGGCAAAAATGAGTACAATGTCAAATAGATAATGTGTTTTTGCAGAGAGAACTTTTGTTTTACTGACTAGATAAATTTGTCATTTGCATTTGTAACTTGTTTAGGACACTAGACATTGTCCTTGGTCCAGTTTGGATGTCAGTTATCAGCATTTTTTTTATGTGTATATGAGAATAGAACAAAAATATTTTGTCTTTTCTAATTTTTATTTGGGAGCTCTAGTGGCCTAGTGTTAAAGAGCTGTTCTATCAAACCAAAGGCAGGCAGTTTGAATCCCCCAGATGCCCCAAGAGAGAAAGTTGGGTATTCTCCTGCCATGCAATTTCCAGCCTCTGAAAACCCTCTGAGGGCCAGCAATGGATCAGGTCCGGCTTGAGGACACATACAACAGTAACAATGTTACGGTGGTAAAAATCAGCAGGTCAATAAACCTTTTTGACATAGAATATTATTTGGTACAAAGTAGTCATGTGAAATGTTGTACATGTAAAATAATAGGCCTGTTTATGTAGTGGGTAAACTTGGCTTTGACTATCCAGTTATGAGCGGTGATCCTTAACTGTCTCTCAGTCACAAGGGTACATTTAGCACAGTGAAAGAGTCTGAGCGGTTTATTAAATGCTGTTGAAACATCCTCATGTTGTTGTCCTCTGTGGACAGCTAAGGTAACATGTTCACAGTCAGTCAGCCTGTGTGAGGGAGTTACGCTCATTAGATTAGGGAGGCTGCTTGAAAATGAAAGCCTGTTTGTGAGGAATAATAGGGGGATGAGACAGGAGTTCTGCATTCTAGGTTTAGCTCTGCCACCACCTAACAACTGTACAGACTGAAAACTGAGTTCAGTTCTTCATTTAAATTGACATCTCAGGAAGAGATTATCTCTTAAATCTCTCCTGGCAATAATTTGATTTTATCTAGATCCTTCTTCCTCTCTATACCATTTTCTTTAAAGTTTTCCTAAGCATGAGGTCCCTGAATGGCACATAACGGTTTATGCTCAACAACTGGGAACATAAGGTTGGTGGTTCAGACCCACCCAGCAGCGCTGCGGAAGAAAGAACTGGCCATCTGCTATTATAAATATTATAGCCAAGAAAGCCCACTGGAGCTTAGCTCTTGTCTATGCCAAACATATGGGATTGCAATAAATTGGAATCTACTCAACAGAAAGGGAGTTTTTTGTGTTTTGCTTTTTGGGTTTTTTGATATTTTGTGTTGGATTTTTTGTGTGTGTGTGGTTTTTTTGTGTTTTTTTTTTTCCTTGAGTACATTTTTTTGCAGACAGGAAAAGAAACCCCATGTGTTAAGTATTTACATGAGCTGGGTGATAGCATTAATCTGGCTTCTGAATTAGCTCCAATTTTAGTGTTGTCTCTTCTACCCAGATTGTTAATGTTTTCTGTTGAACAGGGGCCTCAAGGGTCAAGAGGCTTGTTTTAGAGTTCAGAGATGGAGACAGCAGGTATTTACAGTAGGTGTTTGCTGGGCTGTGGATTATTATAGGAAGTGAAACAAATTAGTATTCTGGAGATCGGAAATAATAATCTTTGAGATTCATACTTTTCAAAAATGTTTCTATTATTCACAGCCATTCATAAGAGATTTTGTCAACGTTTTCAGAGATTGGAGAAGGATGCATTTCACCTACAGGGTGGTAATTACCGCTTCCACTGTTGGTAAAAGTAAACTTTGGTGGCTTAGTCCAGAGGGAGTTGTGTTGTTAATCCCAAGGCAAGAGCCTCTCTGGCAGTTCAAATCCACTGGCAGCTCTGAGGGAGAAAAATGGACAGTCTCTTTCCATGCAATTTACAGCCTTCAAAAACCCACTGAAGGGTCAACTCTGAGTCAGTTTGAACCTGACAGTAATGAGTTGAGTTTGACTACTGATAAGACCTCCATAATTTTTGCTAGGACATTGCTGCATAAAATCATAAGGACCTGTGAACACCTAAATTCTCTTTCCAAGACTGATAGGCCAGAACAAGTGTTCTCTGAGCCCTGGCTGAACGTTCAGGAGAAATATAGGCAGGCCCCAGGCAGTTAATATCTGATTTTTGGACAAATCCTACTTGCCCTTCAATGTTATGTAAATTTGCCTTCACTTTAAAAGGATTGCTTCCAGCCTTCTCTTACACTAAACCGAAACCCACAGCCACTGAGTTGATTTGAACTTACATTATTGTTAGGTGCCATTGAGTCAAGAATGACCCATAGTGACACTGAACAACAGACCTGAACCCTGCCTTATCCTGTACCATTTTCATTGTCTCTGACATACTTGAGCCCACTGCTTAAGT